TTCAGAGGCACAACAGCTTTAGCAATAGAGTCTTATTATTTGTCTATTTTTTTAATTTAGTTCTTCCAGCAAGCCTTCATTTTCATATTAATGTGGCAAGAGAACTCTCCTCTGCTACGTGCCGCTGGGACCACCATAATTAATGTATCTAATGTGAAAGTTTAAGGTTCATTAGGTTTGGAATTTAGGCAGGTTTTTAATCAAGCATGTTACAGCAAATCATTAAAAGCTAAACACAATTTGTACAACACCGCAGTGCTGCTGAGCTGTGAGTTGGCTCTGGGGCAGTGGACGTGGCTCACAGAAACACTTTGCACCTTTGAGACCTGTCAAATCAACGGGGACAGAGGCAAACAACACAAACTGATCTTCTCTTTTGGCAGGGAACAGAAGAAGCTGGGAAGGGGTCGATTTCCCTAATAATAGTAGCAATTAAGGGGACAGCTGAGTTAAAGTCTATTGTGGTAACGGTGATATCCTCTCCCTGCCATTACCATGTCACTCATGTGAGAAGAAGCAGGTCCTATGCAGTCAGGCCCCACATGCTGTTTGCTGGTGTATCCAAGAGCTCAGGTCCACACTGCAAGAGGTGCTGAGCATTCAGTTAACATTCCTGCACCAAGGAGTCTACAATCAAAGTAGGCCAGAGAGGCTGAGTAGGGATTGCTGTCCCTACTCCTATACTGGGAATGAAGCACTTCAGTGGGAGGTCAGACACAATGTGATGCCCTCAGCAAGGTCAGGATGTTACTAAGCTGAAAGGTTTGGATTGTTTTTTCAGGCTCCAGGTGAGTATGGCACTGAGTGATAACTCTGAAAGCCTGTGACAGGATCCAGACACATGGCTCCTAAAACATCAGGCTCTGCCAGTATTAATACCAAAGACACAAACAGAGGTCTGCAACTGTGAGGAATTCTGTCACCCTGGAAAAATCACAGGCCTGTGTGAAACCTTTAGTAGAGTCCTGATAACCCTGATAAAAGAGACTTCCATACACCTCCCAATTCCAATTATCTCCCCTCTTTGTTCTCTGCTTTGTTTTACTTCAGCTTCCTTTAAGCTTGTAAGGTTATTTTCTTCCTTCTTTTCTTGTCCTTTTTCTTTTCTCTTTAAATAAGAAAGCTCTTGGCAAGCAGGATTTACCAGGCTTCAGCAGCTTCAATTCCATTCCAAGTAAGAACGTTAACAACACAAGACAGACAGCTTGGATGGGCAATAGCAGGAACAAAGGAAAGGTTAGAAAGCGAGTGTCACTCAATTGGAGGTGTCATTAATTAACTTCCAGCTCCCCATTGCAATTCCTTCCCTACATGGTCCATCAGATCCAGCCCTCAGACACACCTCTATCTTCATGCTGAGATCTAAAATGCTTGGAAAGAGAATGGTTACTTGGCTATCAAAAGGGCACAGGAGGAGACGTGATGGAGAAGATTAATTGAATGTCCTCTGAATTTTAAAGGTGAGAGAAGAGCAAAGCTGATGGGCTGGCTGGGAGCACTGGAGCTAACATCACTGGGAGAGTGTTCAAGGCCAGGCTGGATGGGGCTTGGAGCAACCTAGTGGAAGGTGCTCTGCCCATGACAGGGGTTAGAACTGGATGAGCTTTAAGTCCCTTCCAACCCAAAACATTCTATGACTCTATAGCATCTGTAAGTGCATCCTTCTGAGGGCTTTAGGCTGCTAAGGTGCTTGCTGCTGAATCTGCAGTGGAACTAGTACACCTTTTCGCTCCCCTTCACAGGCTCAACAGTGCTGCAAGCACCACAATCTCAGTGTGCATGTCTACAGAGGAGATATCCTGCAGCTTCTCAAACCTGCCTGTGAGGACTTATCTGATAACCTCCAGTGCCTGATTTTTGTCCTGCATTCTCATAACTGTTTCCAATTGCGTGCTTTGATTCCTTAGGCAGTTTTTGGTGGCAGATGTTAAGTTTCAGTCAAATAGGTTTTGCAACATTTGATCTTCATTTCATCAAGTTGCTTTATTCTTCCCTGTCTCCTGCACATATTGTCATCCATCTGCTGAAACCTGGATCATTTGGATTAGAGTGCAAGTTAAACTCTAAATCTAATTGCATCAGTCCCTTTTGCCACTAGAATTTCTGGGACAATTAACCAGGCACAACAGATAACCCCTGCTTGCGCCAGACACTTGGAGTTTTAATGCCTAACATCAGCATTTGGGTTTAGAAGCAAGGTAATTATAATGGGTGGCTAATGCTTAACATCAGCATTTAGGTTTTATAAGCAGGGCAATTTTAATGGGGTGTGTCTTCATTCTCCACCTACAGCATTTCATCTTTCAACACAAGAGTGTAAAAGAAAAGACATTTAAGGGAAACTTTTTTGCCATTGCTACTTATATGGAAAAGCCTTTTTCCTTCATTGCTCCCTCTGCTTCTAAATCTAGACCTTCCCAATACCTTTTAGTGGCCCTGACAACCTGCCTTTTATACTGTGTTTCTTTCTCATCCAACCCAGAACCAAACATATTTGGCCCTGAGTTTATTAGATGAGATTTACAAAGGATCTTTCAGAAGCTGACCATGCAGATAACACTGATCTTATTTCATTAGTCCCCTAGAGACCACAGGCCTGTTACGTGTTTCTTTAATGCCACAAAAAGTTACAAAACAGGTTTAGTCCCTGTTTTAGATGTAAATTACACTCAGGATTTCACCAACGCTCAGCAGAAAGCCTCCACCTGGCTGTGTGCACGTGGCTCCAACTCCCTGCAACAGCAAAGAGAAGCCATAAAGATGTTTGTGTGACTCTGATTTACTTTGCTTGCAAGGAACTAGGAATGCAATACCAGTTACTGGAACATGGGCAAAGAGTGGTAACTTCTACCTGATGAAACTTTTCAAAGCCACACTTACTCAGGCTAAGCCACACTTACTCAGGCTCTGATTATGCCACAGACTTAGGAGCGTTAAAAGCAACCTTACACATTTTTGGAGCTTAATTCTTCTGAAAACAGGATTGTGCCCATTACATATTAAAAGCACACTGCCCAGAAGCTGATCACATGTCAGCTTTGTACAGTGCCATCACCAGTGTTGGTAAGGATTCCTTCCTCACTCAGAAATTGCACAATACAGAGCTCCTTCTCCCTAAGCACACACAGCACCTTGGTACAACGAGAACTATAGGCAGTGATATAGAGCAGACTTTAACCGTTTGATACCGTGTTGAGCATCTGTTCTTTGATGCGTACTTCAATACTAAGGAAATTTCACTTCAACAGTCTCTGTAGCATTTCCACGGTCTTTTGCACTATTAAAGAGGGGAGGATTCCTTAAACTTTGACAATCTTCTTGTGATTAGTGCCATTGCTTCAGTATTTCTGAAAGAGCAGATTTCTCGAAGGAAAGGAGCTGATTCATTATGGGGCACAGATCAGAGAGGAGCAATTAGGTCATTTGTCCTGCCACAACGAACGGTTGTCCCACCTCTAATTGCACACTATTAACCTGACTAACAATAAAACACTTTCTCCTCCTATAATGCTCTGCATACTTAACACTGGAACTCTTCAGTCAGCCCAGAAAGATGAAAACACACGATGCCAAGAGCAGGGAAGAGAAAGACTTCTGAATCTGAAGGTTATTTTTCTGCTCTCCTGTGGGACAACACTAAAAGCCAGAATCAGAAAGAATACAGCCCTAAAGAAACAGCTTTAAAAGGTCTGACCTGAAGCAGCTACTTATTTTGTGGAGCTGTTTGCTGCTTGCTGACACACACGGTTTGTGTGAGCTAATGTAACAGGTAACACCAAGAGGGACAGAAAGGGTGTTCAAGGAGCAAGGGGCAGTGCAGAAGAGCATCTAATGATCTAAGCTACTCGGCTTCTCAGCTTGGCACAAATGTGCCTTCCTTGAGTGACTTTTTTCTGTTCGTTATCTATTATGTTCTTCCCAGAGGGAGAGCGGCTTACAGCAAAGTACTTACAAAGGCATTGGGCCTGAAAGATGTGCTGTGCTGCTGGGTCTGACTGCCAGATGATGGGCTGGAGACATCTTCCCCACAGCTAGGCCAAGGTCCTCAAAGGGATTTGGGTCTGAAGACAGCTGGTGATGTTAGAGCAAAGCTGAGGTCCTGCAGGAACTCCTTTCTCCCAGCAGACCAGCCCAAACAGCAGAGTAATCAGTGACAGGCAACCAGGTAAACCTCATGTCCCTGAGCTATCAAGATACTACAAAACAAATACCCAAAGCAAAGGCACACCAGAGAACCACCTTGCTGAATGCATAGGCAGTTAGAAATCTGTCCCCAGCACCAAGTCTTTAACTGCAAAGACAGCTCTCCTGTGAGAATGCAGAGGTAAGAAACTGCTCGCAGATGTTAAGTCTGGAGGTGGATCAAGTGTCCCTGTCATCTCATGGCAGGACTTCCCCTCTTGTACACTGCATGTATCACAGTCAGTTTTCCAGATCTAGTTTTGAATCTGAAACTCTCCAGGTTTTGAAGTGGGAAGATCCTGGCTTTTTCCCTTCCACATTTCACTACAAAACTCTGTATTTCACTCCCTTTAGAATCTTTTAACTAACTTCCAAACAAATATAGACTGAGAATTATTTTCCTGTAGGGCTTATGAAATGCTTTATAAAATACAAATTAGCATGTACAATGCCATATGTCTTATGCAATTCAAATGCTTTTCACCCTCCTGGGCATAATTATAGAGAAGAGGAAAAGAGGTTCCTTGAAACCATGCAATAGTTACATCCCAAGCCCCTCCTGGTGCAAATGAAAGCAATTTTATCACTGTTTCAGTTCTGATAAACCCAGAGCAGATCAGACGCCAATCAGCACAAGCTTTGCTCGTCTACGAGGTGATTCCAGAGTGACATTACCTTGGTAAGGAGCTGCTATGTGGCACACAGGAACTCAAGTTGGCTATCAAAGCCCTGGCACATCTCTCAAACCCAACTCCAGGGTTGTGCCCCTCTTTCACTGGAGTGACATGGATTTGCAAAGTGAGACAGACTCATCTGAGTTCATTCCTGCTGATTTATTTCAGATCACCCTGGGGCTGCAAGCACAAAACCTGACAAGCAAAACATGCAATCATTGACTTAAGTCTAGGCATGATCCCAGAGTGGATAATCCTTGGCTTCATATTAATCCTGCCAGTTCTGGATTGATGAACACTGAGACAAAGGCCCTTCCAGGGCAAGTTCATAGCTTCAGGAGTACAGCAAGGACATACATCCATTCATGTGGAATCGCAAGCAGCATGTGATTTAATCAAGAGGTGGCAGTTCCGAGTGGTGGCTTGATGGTCAAAAGACCAATCTGACACCAAAATAGACAAACCCTGCCAAAAGGCATTTGTTGTTCATTATTTTTCCCATAAGCTTGGCCATTTTACTGCTCTGAATCACCAAGGACAGGAACAAATGGAAGGACCAAGGTGCTGGAGGGAAAAATCTGAAGCTGCTTTCAAAGACTGCATTAAAAACTGTCCTGGTTTCAAGACAAAACGCACAGCCTGAGGTCCATAAAACCTGGATTAATGTGAGCCGGGCCAGGCTGGGGTCTGGTCTCAGCCTCTGTTGGTCTTTTGTACCACCCAACCTTTTATTTTGTGAGCAGTGGTAGTCAGTGACATTCCCTTCTGTCACTGTATACTGCATCTGATGAAGCTCTGCTGTGATGCCTTTGATATACAAAGGCCTATGATCTCCTCTCTTCAAGACTTTGATAGCTTCTGCAGCATGTGAAAAAGGCAGAGTGAGGACATGAGGTACCCAAAGAAGCAGCTCTCACAAAGTATCACCGCATCTCCAAAAGAAAATGTGTATTTTGTCATTCAAAATTACTTTTCATATTCCCACCCACATTTTGTTTGAATGTTTAATTCCTCTTATACCTGTTCTGTGACTATTCTGAACTTGTGTGATTTGGTCCTACCTAGTAAGAAACAATCACATCTGGGAATCTTGAAGGCTGCTGCTGACAGAACTGTCATCCACTTGTCCTTGTGAATTAAGGGTACTGAGAACGAGACCTGAACTCTGTAAATGGCTCATCACTTCCTCTTGCCATACCCCGATCTGCAGATCCAGACATGAAGAGTTTGAGGGTACAGGTGAGATGATCACTAAGTTCTCAGTTGTCCTGGCACCCATGAAAACAGTTTGATGCACACATGGAACTAACAGTAAATGGTTTGAAGTGAGCAGCCCAGAGGAAGGGATAATTATGGAAAGCCCTGCATTTGTCTGGTCTCCATCCTACCTTCAGCAACACTAACACTGATAAACCATCTTTCCAGGATGCTCCAGCTTAGTTTTTCTTGTTTGCTTGGTGTCAATAGTAAATGTGAGCTCTTTGGGTCTCTCCAAATAACTGGTTCTGTCACTCCAAAGGGCTGAGGTGGTCTAGTGAACTAGGCGGCCTTAATAGCAATGCTTTACTTCTCACTTTCTTCAGTAATGCTCCCTTTTCCCTGTTCTTAAAACCTCTTTAGCCATTTAAAACTCAGGACCATTTTTCTCTTCTTATCAGGTTATTCACTTTAACCTCTTTAGTGTACTTCTGTGAAGCAGGTCATAACTTATCAAAGCTTTAGATCTCCTCTCTATGAAGCTGTGCTTGTATTTACAACCAGTGGGTCAAAAATGACAGCTTAAAATGCTGTTGTTCTTAGCTAACCATGCTGAGGTACCCCAGTGAGACAGGGAGGATGGTACCTGCAGAGGAGGCATACCAGTGCACCAGCTCCAAACAGAGGGACTAAGGGACCCGCTCACGAGGAAACAGATGTGGGTGGGAAGCGACCCCACACTGTTTTCTTCATGGTATCACACAGCACCTATTATGAAGGCTGTAGCTTAGAGCAGGACTAAGGAGCTACAAGATTTTGACAAACAAAAGCTCTCAGTGAAGGGAGTTACAGCTACACCTGTTTCAGATCATTCCCGTAACATGGTGTTATAGCTGAGGGGCCAGTCCTAGCTACTGTGGGAAAGGAAACCACAGATTCTCAAAACTAGAGAAATCCAGCCAATGCACAGTAGAGGTCAGCTCTCAGCAGAAACAGGACAAGTAAAAGGACTATTGCTGCCTAATAGCAAACACACAGTGCCCAGCATGCAGATCCCTGTTACAGAGCACATCTTTCTGATGCAAACCAAGACCATAACCAAGATGTGTCAGGAGTTAGAATGCATTTGGATGGGGTTGTCTCCACCTGACAATTCATAACCGAGTTTGGCCACTTGGGTTTATTTCAGCTCAATTTGGCAGTTTTGTTACTCTTCTGAGTGTCATCAGGTCCAACGGTCCGATGTAGATTGAAATGAAAAAGATTTACATTATCAAAGTCCTACAGATCAATCCACTTATCTCTGTGGTGGTTTGTGCCTCTCCTATAGATACACCCATCTGACAAAGACTCTGGGGTTAACTACATCCTGTCTCAAGATTACAGCCTGCCTTTGGCAGAGTGGTCCAGCCCATCCTCTGGGGCAGAGCACAAATCATTCTTTTCAGCTTCTTTTGTCATTTTTTAGCTTGATGTGGAAAGAGTTTTGATAGCCCCTGCAAACTTGCCATTACAGAGGCTGCCCATGAATCTATTCAGCGACTCTGTGCATCTAGTGAATTTTGCTGACATTTCCCCCCTCTTCTTTAAGATGATTGGCACTGCAGTGATGTAGCTTGGAAATGCACACAAGTGCAGCTGATTTTCAGGCTTGGCTGGAAAATCTACATTCCTTCAGCTGGAGTTTTTAAGGTTTTGTTTTATTTTACTTGATTTTTTAATAGCTCCCAACTAACATGAAGCAGCTTTTGAAGAGCTCTGATCTGGAAGACAGATTAAATAAGAATAGACACCTACTAAACACTGCCAGAATAGACTCTGTAGATGCAGTTATTGGATGAAGAATAAGAAAAGGTCAGATTGATGCCGGCTATGCAATCAGTGAAACAGGTTTCTTGAAGAGTAAATTATTAAAGGTCCTTTAGCACATCAGGATATTAAATTATTTTACAAACTCCTGTCCTACATTTGAATGCAATACATGGTCAGCCTTTTACCCAGCTATTTGAATGGAAAGAGAAATGTCACCTTTGTCTGAGATTTCCTGTGCCCCAAACCAGGCTGTCTGCTGCCAGAACTCCTGCACAAAGCACCACTGTTCATACCCAGATCAGCTGTGTGCTGGGGGCCTGATGCATCCAGGACACATCCGCTCCACTGAGCCGAGTGTGCTGACTGCTGTCCCGATTTTCCACCTGAAATGTGGGAGCATTGCTTTATCGTGTAATATCTGAGCACGCAGACAAGCTACCAGGGGTGGGAGTGCACAGGTATTTCTAGAGCAGTACCTGGAGAGCAGAACTATTCGATCTGCATTTGCTTCCAAAACAGGCAGCTTCACCCATTAATCCTGTTGCTTCAACTGGCTCACTTTTACCCCCTTTTTCCTGAGGGGTGAGGGAGTGTACATGGCCAGGAAGCCTCCAGCTCACCTCAAATGCTGGAATTTGCAGGTTAGGTGGGTTGTGCGGGCTCCTTCTATCATCAGCAGAGATCAGCACTTCCAGGAGTGTAATTCATTCCCGCTTTCTATTACCTGCAGATGGTACTGTGATCACTCACCTGGACAACATTTAAAGGACTAAAGTTTGGTAAGAAATGTCCTCCTCTGTCTCTGGACTAATGAACATTGTCATCCCATGACACTGTTCTCTCTGTGCTACTAGCACATATTATATTCCTATATCCCTAGTGATGACTCAGAGAAAATAGTTCTTCCTCCCCCCTGAGAGTGTTCAAGGCCAGGCTGGACAGGGCTTGGAGCAACCTGCTCTAGTGGAATGTATCCCTGCCCGTGGTAGGGGGTTAGAACTCTTATGATCTTAAGGTCCTTTCCAACCCAAACCATTCCCTGATTCTTCCCCTTCTGTCTTCTTCCACATCCTGTCAGTGTAATCTCAAGATTGCTGCATGTGAACCAAGGCTGGCACACGATACCATCACAAGCTGAAACACTAATATAAACAAGGTTTACTATAATGACAAAATGACACCTGGAAGAATAAAGCACAACATTGTTCTAACATCTCCTAGCCAGGCAGATCTTACCTACGATGACTGGGTTTTGGGCAGTGATTAAATATGTAAGGGGATTGTTTCACTTCTTCCTATCTTAACTCCCTTCTTTACTCAGCATTAGATCTGCTGTCTGGATCCATTTCTCAGAAGCAGGTATCTTCTCCTAAGAACACATCCCCTAAAACACCTCTTCTGTAGAATAACTACTTAAGAACAATGAGGGGTGTTGGGTGTAACACTCATGCTGAGCAGTGCTACCATCCTGGATTGGGGCCAGTATCTTCCATTTTCCTCCAGGGGAGAGTGAAGCTGGGGAAGAGCAAACTGAATTTGACAAACTGTGTTCTTCATTAATTTACATCCAATTAGGATTAATTAATTGCTGACTAAAGTATCAACCCATGTAATTATGTATCAAAATAAATAATCTTAAGCACTAAATGAGGCAGCTGGCTAGAAAGTGGTGAGACACCAGTGTTCACACAGCCCTGCTTCCCACAGAGCCAGGGCTGTGCTGCTGAAGCCAGTCAAAGCAGGGAGGTGCCTCCAGTTGGAAATGGGCTGATTTTCACTTACAGCTCACAATGTGTATCCAACACCCTACTGTCTCTCCCTAAAGAGGGAATGATCTGAAGGGCAGGGCCAACTCTTTCCCCTTGAGGCAGTGAGTTGCCAAACCACAGAGACTAAGTGACCATCAGATCTTCTGACAACCCCCTGACACAAGCCAAACGTGATTCTGGAATTACTGCCTTTGCTCTTTGGAGATAAGTGGAAGTTTCCTCCAACTGCAAGCAAACGCAGAAGCATTTACACTGAGAAAGAGTTAAACCTTCTGTTTTTTAATATGTGGCGACAAACACGTACCAAGATTTCTCATGCTGGGGGTGTACGATGGACAGAAGGCTTGTCTCATGCAGCCAGCTATCAGTGTGCTATCAGTCTGAGGCAGAGGTATAAGGATAATGCAATGCAAGAGGCATGTACACAAACAGGGCAACAGAAACGGGAATAACAGGAAAAAAGCCTCCTCTGGAAGGAATAAAGTAAGAAATGAAATATCATCTTAGGATGGTTTCCCTATCTAGCTTTAGCACTTCACTATCCAGCTCACTGGTAGATACACACTGTTCGACTGAGCAAATTCAGTGTGACACTCACAGAGAAGTTGCTCATGAAAAATGGGGAGATTTTTGTCAGGTTGTATAAATGAATTAGCCAAAGTGACGCTGCGTAGGAGACACAACCATCTGAAGAAGAACAAAATAACCTATTTCTTACAAGGTCTAGATTTCACCTTAAATTCAAATGCCAATTGGAAGTGGCATTGAGGGTAATGGCCTTTGTGAGATGTTAAATGAAAAAGCACAGGCAGGATAAATAATCTGGAAGTGCCTGTGTTGTCAATACAGCCACAGTAAAAGCCAAGAGCTGTGAGATGCAGAAGGACAGGAGGATGCAGAGCAGTTAGAAGCCTCTTTTTAATATCTCAAAAATGCAAGTTTGAGTCATACTTCAAGTGTCTGCTAAAAGATGACCCCAGCTTAACTTCCTTTCCAGAGTTGGATAGCTAAAACTGATCAGGTCTGACCTAGCCATGGTATTCCTCTGTGACTACTAAATTAAGGTTGACTTAACACTGC